TTAGCTCCAGGGCTGCAGCTGCCCAAGCGGAGGGTTGGAAGTGCAGAGAATTAGTGCCTCACTTAAAGTACTCAACCAATTCCCACTGGGAGTCATGAATAAATACCCTAGATCCCTTGTCTTCCTCCCTTGTGGATAATGATGAAATGCCCAATCTCCAAGGACTTCATGAAGGACTGAATATTGTTACTTCCATCTTTTTCTCTGTTCTATTAGGAGACTGCATTGAGGGTGTACTCAAAGTACAGTTTGTTGTCTTTTCACTAAATAATGTGGGAAACAGTGCAAGATGGTGGGAGGACAAGTTAGAAGAGCTTGGAGTAATATTCATGAAAAGCTCATTGAGGTTACTGATTGGACTGGTGTTTTCCTGATCCAAGGTTGTGAAATTTCTTCTTTCCCCCCATCTGCTAGGAGGACTGTGGGACAGGAGATAATAACAACCCATGCCACAACTCAATAGGAGGGTCTTAGTTCCAGTGGATGAGGCCGAGGAGACAGTTTTATATGGATGAGTTTGGAAATGGAAGATGAAGTTGGGTCAGGGAGCAGAAGAGCCAAGCTATAGCTCCTGTTAACTGGAGTGTGTGGCTGGTGTGGGTCTTGATACACACAGTAGAACCTGCGCCTACAGTGATCCAGGGGGATAGCATCCTGGACCTATGCCCCTCCTTAGTGCACGTCACTTGAGTCCAAACAGAGGAAGAATTGGGAATCTTTAACAGTGTTTGAGCATCCATGCCTGGTTGAGGAAGAAAGGTCATTTTTTTTTTCTTCCTCTAAGTATCATCAGACACCTAGATTTCTTTAATCTGAAAGATGAGAAGAGAGAGCCAGGCATGGAGCTGATTAATCTGTCCAATTCTTGCCTTCCAAGATAAGCATCTCAATTTCAGGGTATTTTTTTCCTGCCAATTTCTGTGTTGGAATATGTAACCCATGGTAGGTTTTTAAACAGTTTATATGCGGTAGGTTAAATATGGTGCAGATTCTTGTCAATTCCTGCTATTGAGTGGTGAGAGAATGTGGCAGCAGCAGTATTCTGGAAATTCTGAAGTAGGTATTAGGAAACATGTTGATAGTGGCTAAGAAGTGAGGGAAGGGCACCATACCTATCGTAGTATAGGAGTCTGCACATACACACCCAGCATAGGCTGCCAGGACACACTATATGACTAATGACCTGGTCTCTTTAAACCAAAACTTTGCTTAAAAACTGAAATTCCTGCCCCAGTGAATCCTGGATGAATGCCAGGCATTGACACCATGGGATGTACCAAGAGCAAGATTACTGAGAAGCTGATAACAAATTCTGGGTGTTGACTGTGACAAATATCAGCTCTGATGGGCTGTTTGCTTATGACTGTTTTCTTTAACTCATTATAAAAAGGTGAGCTCTAGATGAGATAGTAGAATGGTTTCTCCATTTTTGTCAAACCAGTGGCCATGGGTAAATGGTTTCTTAAGGGTGATGTACCTATCATTCTCAGATCACTGGCTCTCTAGCTAAATAAATGCAATGCTTATTGATTCAACTGCTGTCTCTGCTCACTGATTTTTTTGTTTGTTTTTTTAAGATTTATTTATTTGTGCATACAGAACTGGGGTACAGGCCAGAGGCTCAGGGGCAGTGAGAGGCTTCACCAGAGACAGATTGGGGAGCAGAACAGGCAGATAGACGAAGCACACTGCTGAGGGGAGCAGCGGGCGGGTCAGGAGAGGTCTGCCACGCCATGTGGTCACCTCCGGGGCAGGCGGGGATCAAACTCATGCGGAAATGGCTTTAGCTTCTCAGTGCTGTGCTTTAACCCGCTGCACCACCAGGGAGGGCCTGCTCACTGGTTTTTTGGTAATGACAGGTAGCAGAGCCCAGACCTATTCTCAGTAACAGTGTGTCTTCTACCTGGGTCTGAACCTACTCTTCAGAAGCCCTAAACTGGGGTTTATTAAGTACCACAACTGTGCCCATCATGTTGAAGAGTCAACGGGGAATATGTAGACAGTTTTGTCAAGGTCACACGGGATAGGTAGACAGTTTTGAATATGAACCTTTATCCATATCATGTGGGCAGAAGAATCATACAGGCATACCCTGCCTGATTCCTGAGATATAATTAAATGATTGATGTTTTAAGTCACTAAGGTTAAAATTAATTACTAAGTTGCTAAATGTAACTGGAGAGTACTATTGAGTAAAGAAAACATTTTGAAATCAGAACTGTACTCAAATTCTAACTTCATTATTTACACAATTACATTCATTAATTATACAATTAGTTGAAATGGAAATTTTATAAGCCCTTGCAGCCTTTGCTCCATTTATTAAAAAACAAGTTACAGGCCCTCCCTTGTGGTGCAGCGGGTTAAAGCACAGTACTGAGAAGCTTGAGCCACTTCCGCATGAGTTCGATTCCCGCCCGCCCCGGAAGTGACCACATGGCGTGGCAGATCTCTCCTGGCCCGCCCGCTGCTCCCCTCAGCAGTGTACTTCGTTGGTCTGCCTGTTCTGCTCCCTGCTCTGTCTCTGGTGAATCCTCTTACCCTCTGCATCTCTGGCCTGTACCCCAGTTCTATATGAATAAATAAATAAATCTTTTTAAAAAAAAAAGTTACAAGTTTCTCTTAGTCTCACATTCCTCCTGTATGAAATAGGGATAGTTACATCCATCTCCCAGTTTTATCATGAAGATAGGAAAGAGAACAAATAGACCAGAGAGTCTGGAGCTTAGCAGGAGTTCCTTGTTTTCCTTACTTTCCTCTAAGTCTCACCACACCCTTTTCCCTGTGGCTTCTGAATTCCCAGGGAAAGAAAGGCAGCAAGAAGCACCACCTGTCCCTGCTTCCCTCAGGACTTTCTCCTCAGTCACTCACAGCCATAAATCTGATAAAAACCTTAGTTTTAGACTGGGGAAAACAGACTTTAGAGCAAGTTCCTCATCAAATGACTGTGAAACCCTACTTTAGAAAGAAAAAGTTATTTACTTCACTTGACTTAAAAAAAAGTTTAGCCCCTTGAATAGTGACTCCACTTTAAATAGAAGATTAAGGAAGAAATTGTTGAGGATAAAATGATAACAAAAATAGACTTTAAAAAGTTGTGCTATAGTCCAAAGGCTATCAATTAGAAAGCTTATCAGAAGCAGGAAAGAGAATAGGGGCTTTGTGGGAGCACAGAAGGGCTGGGATTGTCATAATCAGATAAGAAAAGTGGCTTACAGGCAGTTTCTCCCCTGGTCAGTCATCATGAAGCTGCCCAGATGCCAGACGCCATGTTCCTCCATACATGGTGGTGGAAGGAACTGCTGCAATGGTGGCACCACAGAAGAGGCTCAGAAATGGACATGTGAATGATTCAGACACCCTAAATTGCTTGCATTTTCAAAGTATTTGTCCAAAGTACGTGGGACAATTAGATGGAATAAAAAATTCATGGGGTCCCCCTGCCTTGTTACTGTATTTCAGGTAGTGTTCTTTTCTATATAGCAAGACACACAGTCTTCGTTCTTCCCTGCCAGCAACATTCTCCAGGGCTCTATTTTTAAGTTAGTTTCATCCAGACTTTGAGCCAGGACTCACCTCCTTTGCTTTCCATCTTCCTCTCATTGTTCTTACTGCTGTCTCTGAGGTACTCACATTCCAGACACTTGTGAGATTTAATTGTACAGTTGGTCTGTGCATTAAGCCCTAAACTGAAGTTTGGATGGCTGTTATTTTCACATTTATAAATTTGTCTTTTACATTTCCTTTGGACCTGGATGTCTCCAGTAAGTCAGAGATTGTGCCAGGAAATTCTAAACACTCAGCTCAGGCAGGCCTGGATTAATTCACAGCCAGATAAGTGTCTGTGGTAGCATGTGTATGAGCAATATTTATAAAGCACTTCTGAAGTTAGGCTTATTTAAACTTCACAATTCTCAAGTGAGTGCAAAATTAATTCTGCTTTATGGTCGAAAAACAGGTTTGGAGAAGTGATGGCCTGAATGATAGAGCTACTGAGGGAAAGTCGGGGAACCTCACCTCCAGATTGTTAGGTTCTCTTTCCAGTACCTCCTCCTCATAAAACAACTGGCAATTGGACTGGAGAACTAACTACAGGGCATAGAAACCACATAGGTTGTTATCCAGTCAGCTGTCCCCATGTCCAACCAACTTGCCATGATGAGCGTAAAAGAATATTAAGAGTTATCATTTATGGAGTTCATCCAGATGCAGCCCCTGTGCCACGCCCTTTACTATGTTAGCCCATTTATTCTTCCCATTTTTCAGACAAAAAAATTGAGGTTCAGAGAGGTTGATTAGTTACAAAGTTGTAGAGCTGGGGTTCAAGCCTGGTGTTTGTCATAAGTCATGGACTTTCTGTGCTTTCCTTGTCCACTCCTGCCCTCCAGATCTGAACCTTATCTGTCTTCCCCCTTTAGTTCCTGTCCTCGAGGCTGGTGCCCCTCTTAAAGTATTCCTAAGGGGATTTTCCAGGTAAAGCAGGACTCCAACAGGCTGGACAGACCCCAAATGGTGTTTACTACAGACTGCTGAAGGAGCTTTGATAGGCAGCCCCCTGGGGAAGATTGCCCCTGCTGCCGTATGACACAAGAAGCTTTTGCTCTTTAGTGCTATGTTGTCCACAGGATCATTCCCCAAAAAAGAGTCAATTTGTAATTTTTCTCTTTATTCAATTCTGAGGGATCTCTGTTCCTGTACTCTCTAAATGTGCCTTTCTCTCTATCCCAGTTGTAGGAGCCAAGGAACCTGTCCACTTATAAGGGAACAGGTACTACATATATAAATGGCCGATCCTTTCTCTTAACTAGATCACCAAGATGTTGGCAAATCTGTAATGAGTTTGAGGTAACTAGTCCCCAGTAGCTCCTGAGTAGTCATTCCATTCAACTGAGCAGGACATCGGAAATGTTTTTGGAGAGGACAGGTCCCAAACTTTGTCCATTTTCCATAATAACCCTGTGGGGGAAATCTGCAGCAGACTCTTGGTTTGATGTAGAGATTCTTTATTTTGCAAGGATACCTCCAAGTGAACTGATTCCCATGAGCGAGCAGATTTTCCTATGATCCAGATGCTACATATAGTAACTTCTAAGCAAGAAGATCAGGGTAGCAACAATCAGGCCAATCACAAATAAATCCCAGTATGATCCAAGGGTGTTGTCTGATTTAATCTGTTTCCATCTCATTGTAAACTGCTGGCAAGAGAGATTTTGTTAAAAAAAAAAAAAAATCCAAGCCTCCCACTTCATTCAGAATAATCAACTCCTTCCATCCAGCCACTCAAAAGTTGCTCACTGGTATTTTCAGAGGTTTGAAATCTAAGAGAGAACTGAGATCTACTTATGACAAACTTACATTGAAAAAGAGGATATCTTGGAACAAATGCACAGTTTCCAGTTTCATGAGGGCAAAGAACACGGGTATGTGAGCATCTGGACTTGTTTGAGCTGCCATGTCATATAATCTCCTGGCCAAGTGAATGTCCTAGAAATAAAAGAATAGTCCATATTCATTAGGTACAGATTATTTAAGGGTAAATAAATGCAAGTCATTTTTTGAAATATCATTATTTTGGTGGGCAGAATGACACCCAAAGATGTTTGCGTCCCATCCCTTGGAACTTGTGAATATGTTAAGTCACATGGCAAAAGGGACCCTACAAATATAAATTACAGATTTTATTATAGGGATATTATCCTGGATTATCTGGGTAGAAATGTAATCCCATGAGCCATTATCCACAGAGTATTCTCAGGACTCAACTCCCATTTGCTGGAGGAGTCATAGAGAATGAGAAAGGATGTGAATAGTCAGCAAGAAAACAGGACTCTCAGCCACACAATCACAAAACCAGAATTTGGTCAACAGCCAATAATACACCACCACACCTAGTAAGAAGCACAGCTTTAATTTTAATCTATGAGACCCTACACAGTCAAATTCACTGGGACTTCTAATTTGTAGAGACTGAGAAATAATACAGTTGTTTTAAGACACTAAAATTGTGACAATTTTTATGACAGTCATATGAAACTCATAATTTCAAAAAAAAAAAACTTTCTTGGATGCATCTGGACTAGATCTTTAGGTTTGCTTTCAATTAAATAGGCTCCAGAACACTATGTAACAATCCTATAATTTATAAACTAATGACAATGCAGATGGTAACAATCCTTTAAAATTCCTATTTTTCTTCATAGTATTTGCCATAGCTGAAGTTAAAGAATTTGTTTATTCCTTTCTCTTTCTCAATGTATTTGAAACAAAGACTTAGTTTCTGTTTGCCCCTGAATTCCTAATATATAATGAAGTACCCAGTACATAGCAAGTCATAAATAAATAAATTTGGTTCCTAGGATGGGATTTGATCTTTCAAATGTGAAACTATATTTTTAGGGACTTTACCCATTAAATTATGCTACACATAAAATTTTGCTTTCTTTAAGTCTCATCTCCTGATGGCTTATTTTTGTGTACTTTACTTTTGCTTTTTTTTTTCCTAAGTAGAAAAAGGAAAAGACTAGGGACAGTGGCTTTTGAAAACTGAAATACCCCAGTCAGTTCCAGAATTGTAATTTGCTCGAGAGTGTGCTGATTTTAAAAATTAGAAGAGATTTTTCACAAATTTATGGTCTTCCAGCTTCTCTTTGCTTTTGCTCTCCATCTCCCAGAACTCCATTACAGAGGTCAGTAGTTGAGAATCCTTGAGGTCTCTGCTAAATCCATTTCTCATTTGTGTTCTTAAAATTCTCCAAAGCTTTGTAGTCTCATAAATTGATTTGTTGGGGGGGAGGGGGAGGAGAAATGTTCTTTCTTAAAATACTTAAAATTCAGGAGACTGTTCTGAACAAATCTTCCTGGCAACAGAGAAAATGGATATTGTAGACTCTAATTTGGGTTCTTTAATTCCAACAAATTCAGTGGGTATTCATCTGAAACCACCCTACAGATTATAATAGCTGTGTCACTCCCAGTTGTGAAAAGCATATTGACTTGAATAGGATGTTCAGGGAAAGGCAGTCTTTCTCCATATCTCAGGCATTAATTCTTATTTGAGGCAGGCAGTAGTTATTAATTTATTTCTTGAGGCACAATCACTTATTTTATAATAAAAATAGCAAGAAGTACCATTAAAGTGGGATCAGCTCATTTCTTGTCCAGGAGTCCTCAATATTTATAGTAGGGATAGAATGACATATGAAGGGAGGATTTCTTTAAAATTTCTAGAGAAAGAAATTCCTAGACTCCCCTGGCTAGTGAGGACAATGCATAAAAAAAAAAAATTATTACTGTTGAAAAGACTCCTGTCCTTTGATCCTACTTAGAAAAAATCCAAATCATTCAGACAAAACATTTCCTCTCAATAGTAGTGTTTTGATGATGTCCAGGGTTCATTAAATTTTGCTTTAAATTCAATGATTTAGGAGATTATATAAACTAATCTACAGACTAAGTACTAAAATAATGTTTCTAACTAAAAAGTTACATGTACTAAAGTACTGCCCAGTGTTCAAGATGTTCAAATTGAAACACACTTTTCTAGCAATTGATTTGTGAAAGTTGTTCAATTACATGATGCAGAAATTTTCTAGCCCCAAATTTTCAGAGGTAAAAAAATTCTTATACTAGGACAGAAATTTATTTTTGAAATAATTTATTCTTGGTTTCTATACAAGTATAATAATTGCAGGAAAATTTGTAGATCTAGAGCTAAACAAATTAGGGGGAAAAAACCCCATGATCTCACTGTATAGAGATAACTAGTGATAATATTGTATGTGTGTATATCCTTTTAGCATTTTTATATACATCCTTAATAATATATTAATGTATACATACTTTTAGCAATTTTTCAGTCTACATATTTTGTTTTCCACTTTCTTAACTAACAATGTATTTTAAATAAAATCCATATTCAAAACTAAACCTTTAGCCTATAATATTTTTAATTGTTGATTGATATTTCATATTGGTGACTAATGGTTATTAAATCTTCACTGCAAGCTTGTTACCAACGTCATTTATTTAAACTTCATGACAATTTTATAGGGCACATGATATTCTCAACTCTATTTTAAAAATGAAGAAACTAAGGTACAGAAAAGTTACTTCACCCACCCAAATTTATATGACATGTAAATGACACACTTAAATTCAGATAGTTTACTTCTAGCCTGATCACTTAACTATTTTTGGACTACTTTTTAAATACATACATATATATGCATATATATGCGTACATATATGTGTGTACATCATTCTTCATTTTGTGCATTCATTTTACATCATTCTTCATTTTGTGCATTTTTCATCACTTAGCTATTAATTGTCGCCACATAGTACTTTGCTTAACATGTCTTTTATTTTGTAGCATTTCTTGGTTATTGTTGGCTGTTTTCGTCTGTATAAATAAAGCTATACACACTCAACAATTTTTTGTACATTTTCAGTTATATAATTGACATTTCAAGAAAGGTTATGATGTAGTCTCCTTATTGTCATATTTTTGAAAGGACCATTTTATCTTCAAATAAAATTTTACTGATTTACTGTTGGTTTATAATATTACATAATTTGAGGAGTATCGCTACACCCCTCTGTATGTATAAGGCTCCCCTCACCCACCACAGTTTTAGTGTCATTTCCATTATCAAGTTGACCCCTCTATATGTTTCTCCCATTGCCCCTCAAGTAACCACCATATGTTTCAAAGTCTGAGATACTTTTGTTGTGACATGTTAGTCTGTTTACTTTGATTATTTATATTACCCATAGAAGAGAACCCACTTGATAAAAATATTTTTTGCTTTCTGATTTATTTTTAGCATATTCAGGACAGAGCCATTTTAAATATCTTTTAAAATTTTATCCTTGTCCAAAAAAGTAATTCTACTATGGTGTGTAAAGCTTCAGCTCTGCCCATAGATGTTCAGACCAGGCAGATGAGAAATAAAAATGATTCATTAATGACTGGCATTTACCAATCATTTTCACTACTATCTTAAAAAAAAAAGATTCATGCCATAATTACTTTTACTTCTGACAGGTCTGTTTATTCTGTAGAATCCAAACAAAAACACATTATCTATACTGACTATATTTAAATCTCATATCTCATCTCCAAAAGATAATTTCCTTTTACCTCTTAAAATAGATTTCCTATTTAAGTTCTTAAAGCATGCTAACTTGCTCCATTGAAACACTCTGTTACGAATATATTTTAGGAAAGGACTTGTCAGTATTGATTCCTCCACCTGAATTATTTCCTCTGTGACATGTTTCTGGTACTTTCCTTATGTGTGCATCCACATATGTCATTTGTTTTCACAGTGCTTTGGGCATGTCTCTTCTATGTTATACTCTGACCTCTTTGAAGGCTAGCTTGTTCTTTGTATCCCCAGAACTTAGCACAGAGCTTTCTGTCACAAAATAAGAACTTGAAAACTATCCAAATGGACAAATGAAAAGTAAGGCACAGTATCATAGTACTTTAGAAGCAGTTATCTTGGCTTCATAGAAGATATGACATTGCAACTATTCTTAAAAAAAAAAAAAAAAAGGAAAGACATAAAAACACTGATTTGAAAAAGATACCTGCACCCCCATGTTTATTGCTGCTTTATTTACAATTGGAACATGGAAGCAGCCCAAATGTCCAAAAGTAGATGACTGGATAAAAAAGATGTGGTACGGCCCTCCCTGGTGGCGCAGCGGGTTAAAGCACTGCACTACAAAGCTTAAGCCACTTCGGCATGAGATCGATTCCCGCCTGCCCTGGAGGAGTCCACATGGCGAGGCAGACCTCTCCTGACCCGCCCGCTGCTCCCCTCAGCAGTGTACTTTGTCAATCTGCCTGTTCTGCTCCCCACTCTGTCTCTGGTGAATCCTCTCACCCGCTGCATCTCTGGCTTATACCCCAGTTCTATATGAATAAATAAATAAAATCTTTAAAAAAAAAAAAGAGATGTGGTACACATATACAATGGAATATTACTCAGCAACCAAAAAAGAGAAACACATGTCTTTTGCAGCAACTTGGATGGAGCTGGAAAAGATCATGCTTAGTGAGATAAGCCAGAAAAAGAAAAAATACCAGATGGTTTCACTCATAGCAGGAGTATAATGGACCAGGCGAGAAAATAAAAATACTGAGCAACCATATACCAGAGACATTTTGTGGGGGGGTGGAGTGGGGAATGGGATCAAAAACGGGGGTGGGGTGGGGAGGGAAGTGCGCGGGATTATGGTGATGGCACACGGGTGACTTGGTGATGGGAAACGCGCGGGGATTAAAATGGAGATGGGGGAAAAATGTACAAAATGATGTAAAAATAAATAAATAAATAAATAAAAAGGACTGGTCCTCAGTGGGCAAAAATGTGGAAATCATTCCATCAAAAGTGGTAATATAGGGCCCTGGTGGCGCAGTGGGTTAAAGCACAGCGCTAAGAAGCTAAAGCCACTTCCGCATGAGTTCATTCCCG